GAACTTTATCTCTTTATTTATGATATCAATCTACTTTTGAGATTTATTCTTTTGTACTATTTGATGAAAGTTGATTGATCAGATCATCTTCCACCAATACAATATCATTCTTATTTTCTTGAAAAAAACTATAAAATTATCCGAATTGTATTTCTCTTTTTTTAGTGGATTTCCTTAAAGGCATTTATTCTTGAAGTTGATGAGTTTGTTCTGCAGAAATAATCTTTTGATTGTGTATAGGATTTTTGTAATACTGTCTTGATTCGAAATTGCTTATTGAATAAGATCTAGAGCAAAAATTTGTCATTGATCATATTCATTGTCAATTAAAATAGGAGAAATACATACATATTTTTCTTCTGAGACAAAATCTTTAATCTCATAACCTGATCTCCCCTGCAAACTTAACATCTTCACAGAATTTGACACTTTTCGTTTCGAAAATTGACCTGATAGCAGGATCTCAAAATTTGTAATCCTTTGTCCTTTCAAAGTATTCAATAAATTAGCAACTCGCAATTCTGAAGTTCAGTTTATTTTTTAATGGCCTATAAAGTCTTGTGTTAATTGGACAACTCCAAATGTACAAGTGCTTTAAATTAGGCTTATTTCTTGTCCAAAGCTCATAAAAGATATTGATAATTGCTTTATTTGGAACTTTATTGAGAATTTTAGCTATAATCTTTAGTTTTTCAAATTTTGACACTTTCTTTAACTAATTTATGTTTAATATTATATGAATTCCCATACAATGTTTCTTCATAAGAGGCAACCGTATTAAGCAAATATAGGTTATCATAACTGGATAAAGAACTACTATCCACAAAATTTAAATTAAGAAAATGTCAAACTGACTAATTCTAATTGAACAAGAGTAACCAAATTTGTTCAAAGTAGAAATGGAAACCAAATTTCATCGAGGCACTATAAATATCTCTTTCATATTTAAATAATAATCAGTCTTTAATAATAACTTAAAGTCACTATAGCCTCAACTTTTTTAACTAATTTGCCATCGTCCCACTACATGAATCTTTTAGCATCAATTGGCTTTACACTGTTCAGGCAACCCCACATAGATACGCTTATTTAAATAATGACACCGAAATTTATCCATTAGGTGTGTCTGGGTACTGAAACTAAATTAACCTTATAACACACCAAAGTGATAGATGTACTTTACACGCCAAGCCTGCTATTTAATACAATATCTCTTCATGTGTCCCAGGTTTTCACAAAAAGTAACTATTTGCTGATTTATCATTTTTAGACTTTTGTTGTTTCTTTTGAATCAAATATGATGCAACTTTTTTATTCTTTAACTTGTCTGTAGATGTAATTGCCAAGTGAGTAATATCAATTTTATCTTACTTTAGCTTTTTCTACTTGTACACAATATGGAATGAGCCTATTACAAGTCCCCTTTTCCTTCTTTGACAGTTGTAACTGATCTTAAACTGACTAAATTATGCAAGATGAGAAGTCAAAAATCAAGTGCACGAGCAAGTCATAAGATAGCTTAAGCTTTAATACCTTTAGTTTTAAAACAAGATGAGACATCCCTATGTTGTACTTGTTTATGTTATATTTACCCTTATACTTTAATGAAACTAAGTTCGCCAAAAAGCGTGCTATTTCAACCTTATTGCCTTTTTCAAAGAGTTTTCAATTTCCTCTAGAAACTCCTTGGTAGTAAGTACCTTAGCATTTCTGAATGTTATTAGAATTCCACGTTTTATGATCATAAGACTCATGCGGTTTAAACGATCTCACTTATTCAAGTCCCATTTTTCATCAACGGAACTCTTTTCCATAATAGCAGTGGGTTGTTAAATCCTTAACTCAAGATTTAGATCCAGATCCATGTGTCTAAGAACAATACGAACGTTCTTTTTCTAGTTCTTCAAATTTGGTTCTATAAGCATAGAAAATAAATTGATTAGTTGGCATATATTGTAGAAGTAGATAAATTAACCAAATAGAGAATTTAAACCTAAATAACATGTTAACATTAAATTCATATTAAATAATTAATAATTTGAAATAATGGTGGGGCAAATCACAAAAGACCGTGCACAACATTGATATTTAGTTTTTAGACAAAAATATGAACTTGTAAATAGTAGTCTTGGTGTAATAATCATGAAAATAAATTACGGTCAAACATCAAGTTTATCTTTGGACTAACTCAATGTTCACATAATGAAAAACTTTAGAATTGACACATATTTATTACCACAGATGTACATATAATTCGGCCAAATATTAACCTTTGAGTCGATGAGTTTTTGCATGAATTATACACACAATTGTCCTTATATTTTAAATAAATTAATTTAGGCAATAGAGGTCAATTTGATAATATGTTTCAACTAATCTATTTCAGAAAATGAGTAATTCGAAATAAATTTTAAGTACCAAGATTTGAAATTTGATTGTTATTCCTTATATTTTATTTTTTTCCCCTTTTGTTTTAACAAAAAAAAAATGTTGGACAAAGATGCAATGCTGCAGCGCCTGGTTCTGTGGGAGCTGCGGCGCCTAGTTTCGAGCACTGGTTTATAGGGCCGCGAAGCCTCATTTGGGCATCGCAACGATGCAACACTGCTGTAATGCCGCCAAAATTACCTTAAATCCAAAATTTTGATATCTAGGATTTGAAATTCACATCCCAAATTTTATAAAACTATACCCTTGTTTGAGCCTCATTTTTCTAAAAATTGATTTTTTAAAACTCATTTTCATTCTTCAATAAAATAATATTACACGTAAACCAAAACTTTTCCTTAATTTTTAACCACACATTCTTCATCAATTACTATTTAAAAATGTACTATTTCCTTTAAAATGGGGCTCAAACAAGGGCTAAATTATGAATTTAAACTTTAAAATCCTTCATATAGTTTCAATAGTTCAACATGAATTGACTCTAATACCACGTATTGAATTTTTATGAAACTTAAATTTTATATAACTTTATGAATTATCAAGATCTCCATATCAAATCACCAAAAACATTAATTAATGTGGAACATACTTTAATTTTTTGTGAATGATTCTTTATTACTAAATTTTGAATCACGAAGATCTACTTGAATCTCTTCATTTTTGACTTCTTCACTTTTAATCTTGAATTTTGTCTCCTTTAGTTCTTTAATTCCTTCTTCTTGATTCTTAATTGTGAGTTTTGGATTTTCCTCTTCAATATATTTTCTCTTGTATTATCGTATTGATGAGATGACATAAAACATGATAAAATTATATATGAATTGGGAACCATAACTCTATATATAATTTTCATATATATTTTGCCCATCGTCAAATACAACTCTAATAGATCCGGTCTTTACATATATATAATCCAGCCCATACTTTATTTAAATGCCTAAAGCCCAATTATTTAATTCTTTATTATATCACTTTAATTTTTGAACTTAATTTTAAGATAACATTTAAACACAATTAATTACATATGTAGGCCCACATGTCAAATTAAATATTTTTGTCAACTGAATATGCAATCTCTATATTGCCTTTTTATTTATTTTTTCTTTTTCTTTATAGCATGTTGATTCAAGAAAATCCAAGGATAGTTTTCAAAACAAGCTTATTGGAAAAAAATAAAATCTCATGAAAAATTCAAACTTGTTGATTAACTCACGAATATAAAAAAGAGACAATATCTGAGATAAACTTCCCAAGAAATAAAGATCAATATTTGTGTTTAGTACTATTCTAGGTGGAAGACTAATATTTGACTTTCTATCACAAGAAATAAAGAACAATATTAGCTTAGCTCTCGTTTGATTTCCATTCTTTGGTTACAAAAATGAAAAATATGATCGTTATTCATTACATCAAGCCACTATATTTGACTTTCTATTTCTTGTATGGATCCCATAACGATTATATTTTTCATTCTCATTCTTAGAAAAATGGAAATCAAACGGGGCCAAATAGCTACGTATTTTGAAAATTCCAAAAGAAAAACTATAACATTTAAAATGAAGAAATGAAATTACACAGAATATGTAGGGATGTTTCAACGAAACCAGGCAAGGTAGATATGAAAGGAAAAATTATAAACCCAAAATTGAACCATCAATATTGGCATATGGGTTTGGTGCATTTTTATGGCTTCTTGCTGTCTGTGCCCAGTGTCTCATTTCCCATTCCCCATTCCCCTTTACATTTTTTGTTTTATTCCTATAGTTTTTGGGGTTTTCTCTTTTTCTCTTCCTTTCATTATGGGGACGTTTGTTTCCCATTTTTGTAAGAATGAGAATGAAAAATATAATCATTATAGACACATACAAGAAATAGAAATTCAGGGGGTGCTTGAGAGTCATTTTTATGTAAAAATATATTTTAGAATAGTAATTTGATGGGAAATGTGTGGTTGACAAATAAGGAAATATTTATGATTTACGCGTAATATTATTTTAATAAAAATTGTGTGATTAAAAAGAAAATAGAAAAAAATGTATCTTAAAAAAATAGGTACCAAACAAGGGCTCAAATTTAGCCCCTGTTTGATTAACATTACATTACATTACATTACATTACATTTTTCTCTCTCCTATTTTCAACCATACAATCTTCTATAAAATAATATTACACGTAAATCGAAAACTTTACTTTTTTTTTCAACCACTCATTTTTCTAAAAAATACTATTCCCCCCATTACCATTTTCAGGTAATGGGGGCCAAACAGGGGCTTAATGACTTAATAAAAAAAACAAACAGAAGCTATATAATGTCATTGTAGTTTTAAAAGGCTCGTAAAACGATGTCAGTTTCTTACCCTTTTTGGAGCTCCTTTCCCTTCTTGCGTTTTAGCCTTCTGCTACACTCTTTTGTCCTTCCATGTTCAATCATCTCCATCCCCATCTAAAAAGATGATATGTTGACAACGTGATAATTTTGTAAAATGATTATTTTGTCAATTCCTTTTGTCCAAGTCTTTTCTTTGCATAATTGCATATCTATTTATAATTCACTCTCAGTCACCACACAGTTTAGTTTATGCACAAGTATTTCCTTCACAAGATAAGCTGTCGATCTTTCTCAGGAATGGGTTGCAGCCACAATCTTGTGTGTGGTCATAGACTTCACCATTTTGCCATTTCCTTTCTCTTTCTCCTAATTTCGAGCTCATCTCAGTTAAGAATATTCAATGGCGCAGAAGGTAAATTAAATTAAACACAAAAAATTTCTTCACTAAATGAAAATTAAAAGATAAAAGTTTGTTTCCTTTTGTATGCTTGCAGGTAGAAAATTAGTACAGAGGGTCGACAATTCCCAGGTAAGATTTGGGTAACTCTTTTACATCAATTTGTGTTTTACGTGTGTATAAACGTGACAAAAATGAATTATTGAATAATGTTTGATTGAGTAGACGGTAAGCGAAGAGAAGTCAATATTGAGAGCACAAATTGGTTCGAGGCCGCCACGGTGCGAGAGGAGGTGCAGTTCTTGTGCGCAATGTGAAGCCATTCAGGTGCCCACAAACCCCCAAACAAGAAACGAATTCAAGAATTCAACCATTGGCTATGCTAGAATAGATGATCATTCCAATTACAAGCCCATGAGCTGGAAATGCAAATGTGGAAGCCTCATTTTCAACCCGTAATCTAATCTTAATTATCGTGTATAGAAGTTATAGAATATTAATATTAATCACCTCTTTTTGTTCTTGTCTTTCTAGCTACTTGTACTCTATTCTGGGAAAGGAATTACTGTTTCTTTTGTGGGCATCTTCAAGATTTCCCCATTATCTCTCTTGTAAATTCTTTATCATTATTATTGTCATTATTGCTTGCATTAATTATATACATACATTTCTGAGGTCTTGTGATACTGTAGCAGAGATTGTGGTACCAACCAGTAAATGCTTTGAAGTCGCTAAGCATAAATTACCCTTACACAAGATCAACAAAACTGACAGAAATAACAAGTGAGAGAAGAGAGGAGGTTAAAGACGTGGTTTAAATGTGAAAAGTTGATGTTTTGCGGCCTTATACATGTATAGGTGTGTATTGGATACTGACTTTCTAACTGCAGGCACCGTTAGGTCTTTCTTTTCCAGAGCTGTCCTCTCTGAAAAGTATAGGCAATGCAATGCAAACACGCAAAAGAAATACAGACATTTGTGGATGGTTTTTCTTTAGATATCTTTGGGGTTTGCTGCAATCAATCTGATCGGATTCGATACAGTAAAGCAGTGATTCGTACACCAATCTGATCTGATCTGAGGGATTACTACCTAAAGCAATCTGTCATAGTGTGACTAATCAGACCGCAGTGATTACGACATTCTCGTCATTATACGGTTAGACTCTATTCTCTACACTGTACATACAGTGTCTTCCAAGAGACACCTTACGTGTGAGCCAGCATCGGTCAGGGAAGTTTGTTTGGTTTGCGTCTCGGATGTATTTAAAAATTATACGGTTGATTTGTTGAGAGGCTTAAACCCCTCTGAACAACCGAGGGGTTGTCCGGGAGTTATGGTTGTCCAAGAGTACCAAGAATAACTCGTACTCTTCAAATGTATTAATAATTACATAAATGATACTTGTACACCTACAGAACGTGATTCATAGAAATTGTATAGAAATTCAAAAGAGGGTGATGTGTTGTAAAAAGAAAAAGGAAAGGACTGTTCACTTAGAAAAATATGAATAAATTCATTAAATTTCTTATGTTTTGTTTTAGTTTTCATGGTTACTTTGGGATATTAAACCAAGTCAAAATATTACAATCTTAATATTATTTTGAAGTACTCGTGACCTAATTTTTCATGTCGTTAATTTTGTACAAATGACTAATCGTAGCAAATGCTACAACGCCTCAAAGTAGGATGTTCCAAACTAGTATTTCGAAATTTTCAATAACGAGCTAACTTTAAAAATTTGTCAATGATTGTACGCTAGTCGAATCCATAAATCTTTTATATCCTTTCGAAGCTTGTTTCAAGGACTATATTATAGACATATCGAATGATCTCAACAAACATCGAAAATAATTAAACGTACGTCAAATGTGTGTGTTAAAAACAAGTGTATAACTTGTCTTTTTAAAAAAAATTCAATTATTTTATTAATGTTTATTATTTTTGCACGATAAATTTTTCAATATAATTTACGTTATTTTATTAGAAAATTTTATATATGAAATGGTGTCAAATTTTATTTTAATTTTTTTGGTCGTAAAAATTCCTAATAAAATTTTATTACTTTCTTTGGGTTATAAATTGTTATACTACTTTTTCATTTCGATTATATATATATATAGATATGAAAAATCAATCATTGTTTTACTACTATTACTTTTTCCTGTCGATCAATTATTATTTTTTAAATGATCTAATAAATTTCCTAGCAAATTTTTTGACGTCATTTAGAAAATTTCCTAATAATCTTTTAAATTTTTTTAAATGATGTTTCATTTGACATTAATGTCAAATTTTTTACATTAATGTAAAACATCGCCTCTTGATCATTTGGGAAATTATTAAAAATTTACTTACATAAAAAATAATGTCATACCTTAAGTAAAAAATTATAATAAATGATGTAAATTATATTGAGAAATTTGTCGAGCAAAAATAATAAACATTAATGAAATAATTGATTTGTTGCAAAAAGACAAGTTATACGCTTCTTTTTAACACACATAAGATCGTCGAAGAATTGTTAAAATTAGTTTGTTATCGAAATACTAGTTTGAGACGGCTTATTTTGACTGTCACAGCATTTGCTACGACTGACCATTTCGTACAAAATTAAAAACGAGAAAAATTAGGCCGTGAGTACTTCAAAATAATATTAGGAATGTAATATTTCGACTTTGTTTGATATCTCGGATTAACCACGAAAATTAAGACAAAAACATAAGAAATTTAATGAATTTATTTGTATTTTTCTCCAAGTGAACCGTCCTTTCCTTTTCCTTTCACGACACGTCACCCTCTTTTGAATTTCTGTACAATTTTTGTGAACCACGTTTGTACATGTAGCTTTATCGAGGGAAAATATACAATAAATCTATGTCTCTTGTCCAAAAATCACTGAAATGTTATGATGTGGCATTCTGTAAAAATTTCTTGCCCTATACATATAGCATTGTTCTAATGATAAACTCGTTTACAGTGAACATGCACATCGATATAAAAAATTATTTTATTGAATATAGTGTCTGATTATAAAGGCTTGTCTGATTTTTGAGGATTGATTTTTTTTTTTTTTAAATGAATTGTGGTTAAGAAGTATATAAAAGTTATAGGATACATGAACAATTTTCTAATATTTATATTAAAATAAGTGTGAGAAAGAAGTAATTCTCAAAGAATCAATATTAAATGGGGACTTAATTCACTTGTTCATTTGTACTTGTTGTCAATCTAAAATTTATGTCTGATTATTTGAAGATTCTCCTTGAATCGATTTAAATATTGATCCTGTCACAATTAGTTAGGTCAGCTTGAAACCATGATCTAATATCCCTTCAATTGAGGTTGGAGTTGGACTATAGGAAACGTTATGTGGGAACGTCATTGTGATATGACAATTAAGTGCTCATCGTTGACACAGCACTGTCCAAACCAACCAATTAAGAAGATGAAAGATGGCCTAAGACAAGGCTTAAATCTTAGATATCATGATAATGCCATTTCTATATAATTCACCAACCAATCAAATTCCTTCAAAATGATGGTGACATGGTCCTATGAAGGGATACCCTAACATTGACATGATCAGGACTGCATGCTTGAGTCCAATATCCTATATAAAGGAATAAAAGATAAACAAGAAGGGGAGTCCGAACTAAGAAATTCTCTTCGCATAATTACCAAAAAATTCAGCAAACTCTAATTAGAGTTATGCCATTTACATTATTTTACCAGAATCAAATTGTTAGAACGAGTTGGCAAATTATGATTGGATTGTTGAAAAATATTTTCGGCTCAACTACTAATAAAATATTACCAAGTGTTAGTCTAACACAATTTTGATAAAAATCAATCTACTAATGTTTAAATAGAACACTGTTATTTTGTTTAAATATCTTTAAAGTTGATAAAAAATAAAATAAAAGAAGAAGTATGAAGTCAGAATTAAGATAGGGATAATTATATTACCACCACAAAATTTAATTAATACATCACAATTAAAATATATTTTCAATAAATACACCACAACAAATTTACAATTATACTCTTATTCCAATAAAACTAAAAAATAAAAATAAAAATTCGTGGTGTGCTCATAGATGTAAACAAGATCAAGTAAATCGTCTTTTCCTTTCTTCTTCATGTCCCTCGGCTTTTGTTTCTTTTTTCTTTTCAACGGAAATGTGATTTTCAACAAAAGCAATTGGCTTTGTCACATGCATTATGCATATCATCGACTGAATGTTTAATAAGTTGTTGAACAAACTGTAATGATTAAGCAACAAATACGTCATAACTGATAGTTTAGGGAATATATTTTCTGCAATTCTTGTATATACAATAACCAGAAATTTAGAGATACATATAGCAGCCGGATGACCTCTATATTTGGCTACTTCCAACTAATTAAGGTAGACAACTATAATTACAACTTTAATTAGAAGATTATTGCCACAAATTACTCTAATTTTACAACTCACGCCAACACTCCCCCTCAAGTTGGTGCATATAAATCTCTGATACCCAACTTGTCAAGTGAGTTGTAGAAGTTCTTGCTACATGCAGCTTTTGTGAGTATATCCGCCAACTAATCTTCAAACTTAACAAATGAAAGTCGAATTATCTTCGCCTCAAGGTTCTGCCCGATAAAATGTCGATCTACTTCCAAATGTTTGGTTCAATCATGCTGGACGGGATTACGAGAAATATCAATAGCAGCCTTGTTGTCGCAAAAGAGACTCATCTCACAATCTTGAGTGAAGCCAATCTCTGTTAATAATCTCCTAAGCCAAAGAAGTTCACAAAGGCCCTTAGCCATCCCACGAAATTCAGCTTCAGCACTTGATAATGCCACTACTTTCTGTTTCTTACTCCTCCATGTAACAAGGTTTCCTCCAACAAATGTGAAATATCCTGAGGCGGATTTTCTATCTGTAATATTTCCTGCCCAATCGGCATCTGTATAACCTTCAACCCTTAAGTGATTGTTCTTCGAAAACATAAGTCCCTTTCCAGGAGAGGATTTCAGGTATTGAAGAATTTGAATAACTGCATTCATATTATCTTCACTTGGACAATGCATGAATTGGCTTACGACACTTACTGCATAAGCAATATCGGGTCGTGTATGCGAGAGATAAATTAGCTTACCGACCAATCTTTGATACCTGCCTTTGTCTGTTGGCACTTGGTTTGAATATTCTCCAAGTTTGTGATTTTGGATCATTGGTGTATCTGCAGGTTTACACTCCAGAAGTCCAACTTCTGATAATAAATCTAGGACATATTTTTGTTGGGAAAGGAATATACTTCGCTTAGATCTGGCAACTTCAATTCCCAGAAAATATTTGAGTCCTCCCAAGTTTTTCATCTCAAATTCAGCTGCCAATTGCTTCTGAAGACTTGATATTTCTTCCGAATCATCTCCTATAATAATCATATCGTCTACATAGACTATCAGAGCTGTGATCTTGCCTCGTCGATGCTTCAAAAAGAGTGTGTGGTCGAAATTGCTATGATGGAATCCATATTTCCTCATTGCCAAGCTCAATCGTCCAAACCATGCTCGAGGAGATTGTTTTAATCCGTATAAAGTCCGCTGC